ATTTTTTTGTCATGCACGGGATAATTTTGCTCGGCCGATTATAACTTTCGCGACTCGTACGCGATTGGCTGAAGGCCATCCCCAAAATCCTGTAGCAAGACTGCTCCGATGGCGATGTTATTTGCGCCAGTCACGACTTCGAACGGTCCTTCTGGGTTAGCAATCCGAAGTACAGGCAGGCGCGGCGGGACATTTTTTAATCTGTCAAACGCAGCTTGCTGCTTCTCCCCCCACTGATTATCAATGCCCTTATGAAGTAGGTCAGTTAGTGCTCCAGTTTACCCCGTCATGTTGGGTATAAACCGACGCACGTAATTGAGGAACCCCTAAAACGATTGCAGCTCCTCGAGGTTGGTCGACGGCTTCCATTCATGAATCGCCAAAATTATGCGGGGGTCAATCTTCACGCCCTTTGTCGAAATAACGTGCCCCAAAAACTCCAGTTCGGGTTTAAACAACTCACACTTAGAGCCTTTGGTGATGAGATGATTCTGCTGCAGGTGCTGAAAAACTGCTTCCAGGTCCTTTAAGTGCCGCTCCCGTGTCATGCTGTAAATCTAGATATCGTCCAGATAAATGATCACACATTTATCGAGTTTATCCCAGAATACCCCGTTCATCGTCAGCTGGAACGTCGAGGGGGCATTCGTTAACCCGAACAGCATGGCAGTGTATTCATAACAACCGTAGCGAGTACAAAACACGGTCTTGTGGCAGTTGTCGGTGAAGACTCGAATCTGATGGTAATCGCCACGAAGGTCGATCTTTGAGCAATAGCAAGCGCTTCGCAGCTGGTCGATCAGTCCGTCCGCACGTGGGATTGGGTTGCGAGATTTTATCAGTGCCTCAATCGAGCGGTCAAGAATGGAGCGGATTTATACGCTGTCCATCTCACCGAATCAACGGAGCAGAACGAGGCGACCGACATCAACAAACTCTGCGCTTCGGTCCCGGATGACTTGGCAAAAATCATTCGGGAATATCCCGAGATTTTCCCAAACGATTTGCCAAGTGGACTGCCACCCGAACGACCCCAAGACCACAAAATCGAGTTGGAGCCCGGCGCGCAGCCTATTGTACGAACTCAATGGCGCCTGACTCAGCCGGAGCTACACGAATTAAGGAACCAGCTGGACTACCAGATGGCAAAAGGGTTTATTCGGCCGAGCACGTCCGCGTTCGCAGCGCCGATCCTGTTCACCCCAAAGAAGGACAGTGGACTTCGCATGTGTACCGATTATCGTGCCCTTAATCGGGTAACAATTAAATGGCGCTAACCAATCCCATGCTTGCACGAGCTGATTGACAACCTTCGCGAAGCTCGCTACGTTTCGAAGATCGACCTTCGTGGCGGTTACCATCAATTTCGAGTGTTCGCTGACGACTGCCACAAGACCGCGTTTCGTACTCGCTACAGGAGTAACGAATACACAGGAATGCTGTTTGGATTAACGAACGCCCCTTCGACATTCCAGCTCCCCATGAACGGGGTGTTCCGCGATCTACTCGACAAATGTGTGATAATTTACCTGGACGACATCCTGATTTGCAGCAAGACCCGGGAGCAACATTTAGCGGACTTGGAAGCGGTTTTTCAGAGGCTGCAGCAGCATCGTCTCATCACCAAGGACTCCAAGTGCGAGTTTTTAAAACAAGAACTGGAGTTCCTGAGGCACGTGATCTCCACGGAGGGGATTCAAATAGACCCGAAAAAACTCCGGGCTATTAAGGAGTGGAAACCACCAACAAATCTGCAGCAGCTGCAATCACCTCTGGGTTTTGTGAATTGCGTGCGGCGGTTTATACCCAACATGGCGGGGTTAACTGGACCTCTAACCGACCTACTGCAAAAGGGGCCTTTTACGAGTGGGGGGAGAAGCAGCAAGCTGCGTTCGAGTCATTAAAAAACCTTTGAATGTCGCCACCAGTACTTCGCATCGCTGACCCAGAACGGCCCTTCGAAGTCATCACCGACGCAAGCGACATCGCCATCGGAGCCGTGCTCATGCAAGATTTCGGAAATGGTCTTCAACCAATCGCGTACGAGTCTCGCAAAATGCAATTTGCTGAGCGCAACTACTCGGTACACGACAAGGAGATGCTGGCGATTGTCCACGCGTTCAAAATCTAGAGGTGGTACCTGACTGGAGCAGACGTGACGGTGCGAACTGATTACAAATCTCTACAGTACCTGAGAGCGCAGCCGAATCTCAACCCGCGGCAGATACGCTGGCTGGACTATCTGGAGTCCAACTTCACGTACAAGATCACGTACAAAAAGGGCGCCAACAATATTGCTGACGTCCTCTCCACACCGTCCGCCCAGCTCGCACCAGTACTAGTCGCCCAGAGTTACCCACTACTGAGAGGACTATTTACCCGCGGGTATTCGACTAACCCCTTCTTCGTAAATGACGGCCATCTTCCAATCACTACACGGAAAGGCGTCTATTACTTACGAAGCGGAACGGGTCGAATTTGGGTCCCAAGTTATCGTCTACTTCGCGAATTACTAATTCAAGAAGTCCACGATTCGAATTTATCAGGACATTTCGGGGTTGATAAAACTTTGAAGGCGTTGCAGCGGTTTTATTACTGGCCAGATATGGTGACGGACGTGCAGCATTACGTGGCCGCGTATCCGATCTGTCAGCGAATGAAATCATCACATCAGCGACCGACAGGACTGTTGCAGCCCCTCGAGCCACCTCAACGCCCATGGCAACACGTGACGATGGATTTCGTTACGGGTCTACCGGCCTGATCCAGCGGAAATGACGCAGTACTGGTTGTCGTCGCCAGATTGACGAAAATGACGCATTTCGCACCATGTCGAAACCGCGCGACTGTTCATGTCGACCGTTCGTCTACATAGGATACCAGCAGCGATCATCATCGATCGAGATCCGAAGTTCACGTCGAAGTTTTGGCAGGACACGTGGGCTCTGTACGGCACGCGCCTGCAATTCTCATCCGCTTATCATCCCCAAACGGATGGTCAGACTGAAAGGACAAACCAAACGATGGAGCAACTGATCCGGACAAATTGCCCCGACCGAAACAAATGGGAGGACACGCTTCCCATGTTGGAATTTTCCTACAACAACGCGCCCTCAGCCACGACTAATCACTCCCCGTTTTACGTCAATTACGGGATGGATCCCACCGTACCTATCTCCACCAATATCGAGAGTCAAGTACCACGGTCGCAGCAATTCGTCGAAGAATTACAGACTGCCCGCGACAAAGATGTCAAACTTATTCGCAAGGCGAACGCTACTGCCCAACGGTACGCGGATTTACATTGACGGGATATTACAATGACAGCAGGGCAACTGGTCCTTTTGGACACGAAGAATTTACAACTGCCACTACCGATGAAATTACGACCACGTTTCTGTGGCCCATTCAAGATCATGAAGATGGTGACGCCGGTGACCGCCCAGTTGCACCTACCTGACGATTGGCGTATTCACAACAAGTTCCATGTGAGCCTGTTGCGACCTTTCGTACCTGACACATCGGACATCGCCCGACAGCGATTGGTCCCAGATGTACAGCAACCTACAGAGACGGCCATCGAGCCTTCGAAGATTTTGAGCCATCAGATTCGTATCGACGGCCAAGGACGACACGTTGACTTTCTGATACGATGGACCAATCGTACCAGTGAGGACGACACGTGGCTGATATAGATCACCTTCGCTAAGAGGGGGGGGGGGTTGGTGTAAGGAATTTTCTATTCCTTACCGAGCGGTACTGCAATCGCGTACGCTCGAACACACCTTAAGCCTCAGGACGGTTCCGGACCTTTCTGACAGAGTCACATCGGCTTCTCCATACCTTCTAGTTCGACCTTCGGGAGTTCTCCGGGCCTCGCTTCGTCACTTCGAGACCCTTCGATCTCTTTTTCGAACCTTCACATCTCATGGTTAGCCTATCTCTGGTGTTCCTATATCTTGGCTTGCCATTACTTGTATCGTCATTCAATGATTGAACACTTCGTTATTCATTTCCGCGCTACTCTGCTGGTTCATTCATAACACCTTACATATACCGTGTGTGGTATTCAGTTGTCATGACTTTACGCTGTATCCGTTTTGAATCTGGATTCGATCGCGAAATTCGCAAGCCACTCACACAGCGGCAGGTATGCAGAATCCAATTGGCTGCGGATGGATGGTTTCGTCTGCTGACCCACAGGATGGCCAGTGCTGCTGAGGCAGTCAGGCAGCTTGGTTGGTGGAGGTGATTGGCGTCCCATTTCCCAGGACACAAGTTCCACCAACCGTTTGAGAGGGTTGCCTCGAGACAGTAGTTTCCCATCCCAGAGTTCGTCGGTAATGAACGTGCATTCGGGGCTCGAGTCATTGTGACTTCCGATCTTCTCGTGCCCCAATTCGGAACTTCGGGTCTCCTGGAATGGCAAAATTATGACCAGAAGTTCGAATGACACAAATCTCGAAACCCCCTGATTACAGTAGGCGTGGACTCCCACGTGCCAAAAACATTCGTCAACATCCACGGGAAAATTTTCCAGGGCGATGGTTTATGTTTTGAAGCTGGATTTTTCCCAAATTCGAATGTTGCGCCATGAAACTGTTTCAGAAGGCTGAGGGGGTGTTTTTATTAGGTGTCATGCAGAAAAAATGGCATCCGAGAATGTTGGAAACCCATCGCAATCTTTGAAGTTTTGAAATAACGGTTGCGATGGGTTTCCAGGATTCTAAGATGACACAGTTTCGGGATGACACCTACTTAAAACAGCACGCCCTAATTTTCAAGATGCACTGTGGCGAAAGACCTCGAAAAAGTAAGCACCTCTAACAACCAGAAGACATCCGTGGAAGTTGCTGTGAGGACAGGACTCCCTTCGCTAGTCCCAGTACAGTACTGGATGCTAAGTTAAAGGAAAATCACCCTTCAGCTCGCTTCCCCGTACAGTGCAGTGATATCTCAAAAGCCCATGTCGCATCAGATCAACCCCCTGGGCCCCCTCCCATCCCATCCCATCCCATCCCCTCCCCTCCCATGACCAACCCCACAGGTTCAACCAGTTCTATTCCCTACTCTGACTGCTGCATCCCTCTGCTCCCCCAAGCCTCCAGTCCGCCTAGCGTGCGGCCCAAGCAGCCACCCTGGCAACACTCGCGCGCCACCAGCTGCACGGCGCTGCTTCGCCATCCTCACTGCTAGCCGTCACCTGCGGCGGCAGTGCACGGTCTGGCGGCTGCTGCTTCGGCTGGATACCCGACATGCGCTTCTGCTTCGGAGAGGGCGACGGCAACAGCGATGTTTCGGCCCCGGAGCCCATCGGATCAGTCCCCGCGAGGCCGCCTGTGAGGGAGCAGTTTCCGGAGCCCAAGGCGTGGGAGCCAACTCTTGAAGAGTTTCTCAACATTGCGCCGCTGGAAAGCGAGTCGGGCAACGCGCAGCTCGCATCAGCAAAGAGGACCCGGAGAGCGAGGGTCGTGCGCCGTTCGTGGGGCGGCGGCGCGGGCGACGAGGGCCGGGCGGCGTTCTTCGACTGCATCGCAGGGGATGGCCAAAGAAATCGAGACGGTGACGTGTCAGCAGCAGCGGAAAAGGAGGGAAACGGTGACGGCGAAGCTACCACAGCGAAACCTGCACCCGCCATGAAAACGGCGTCTATATCCCTAGCGAGAGTCGTGCCAGCAGGTTCCCAGCCATCCCCGCCTCGTTCCTCGGTCTGCCTAGCCTCGGTCATCTCCTCCTCAGCTCCATCCAAAGCCGCCATACCGGCGACGACCAGCGCAGCGGGGGTCGCTGTTCCGACCGGCGGCTTCCGCTCAAGCTCCACCTCTGCGCAGGGCGCGGAGGAGCCTCCCCCGAGGAGCGCGAGCAACGGCCGCGGAGCGACCGTCCGGGTGGTGTCGTCTGCGGCTGGCGGCGGCGCCTTTGGCGGCGGCGGCGGCTTTGGTGGCGGCGGTGGTGCTTCCAGCGGCATGAGGCTGTTCGCGACTGGGGGAGCAGCAGCCGCTGGGCCGTACTCGTCATTGTCGTACTCGACTTCTTCCAGAGGCCTTGCGTCGCAGCTAGGGATGCAGCGGAGTGTGTCGACGGGGTGTCTGGTCAGCTTTGGCCGTCCAGCGCCAGCCAGCGTTGCCGGAACCGTGATCGGTGGGATGGTGGCAGTGAGAGCCGGGGAAGTGGGGGTGGGGGGGGGGACGCTGCTATCTCCGCCTCCGTTTCTGCCAGCGTCACTGTCTGGGCAGTTGTAAAGTGGCTTCTCACGACGAGCCTCGGATGTTATTACTGGGATCAACAGGTTTCGTTAGCTGCTTATCTCATGGTCTCGTGACATCACTTGTGCTTGGTTACTTCTCCCAACCTCCGATGGTTCTTGTCCTATGATTTCTGGTTTGTTTTGGTTGGAAAGTTGGCAATACCACAGCGTAAGCGCGTGCGCGTCTTGGTTGTTTGACTGGGCATCATGTTGCTCTTGTGGTGATGGGAGACAGCCCTTCCCCCTTATCTTGCGATCTTTCATCGAGCTGATCTTTCATCTAGCTGCTACCGAGGTATTCCCATTTCGTAGAAACCGAGAAAGCAGCATTCTGTACTCGCCTTCAATGGCTCCTTGTTGAGACTAGAAAGAATGAATAGCAGGGAGAACGGAGGAAATATAGCGTTTGGGTTGTACCAACTAAGAACATACTGTTAAGAACTTAGGATGCTAGGTCCCTAAAGTTAGGACACTAGCTTAGCTAGGATAGGAGCAAGGCCGCCATGGAACGGCGCTAGGAAAAACGGATCTAGGAGTAGGAGGAAGGTCGAGAAGAAAGAGAGATTGGATTAGGAAGAGAAGGGAGTACAAGGAGGGGTTTGTACCCCCTACAGAAAGGTTCAGTAACAACCTACCAAGCCTATATTAAATTATAACTTATATAATTTTAACACATACCCTATCTAGCCTAAAACTTCTACATAAAAAAATACGTATAAGTTGACACACCCCCTAGGCTAGATAAGGGGTAGTGCTGAGCAAGAAACACGCAGCTCAGGGTGGTGTCGAGAAGAAAACTGAATCATTAGGATAGAGGGAGAGAACAAGGGTATATACCTAAGAGTGTTGTACCCTCTAAGAGGTGACCTTATACAGTCTATACAAATATGAGTTATACATATATTTGACACACCCCCTAAACTGCATAGGGGCAAATCCTGAACAAGCAGCTCCGGGCGGCACTACTAGTCCAGCCACTGAGACAAGGGTCTAAAGACTAGTCAAAAAGGAGTACAGGCAAGACAAGAACAAGACCAGGGCGGCACTACTAGTCTAGCCATTGGGAAAGGACACAAGTCCAGTCTGAGTACATACATCTCGAACCTAGAAATTGAAATAATTATAGAGTTAGAGAGTACATGCACATATACCTAAATGTTGTACCCTCTAGGAGGTTACCCTATACAGTCTATACAAACATGATCAATAAACATGTTTGACACACCCCCTGGACTGCATAGGGGAATGTCCTAGATAAGCAGCTCAGGGCGGCACTACTAGTCCAGCCTCTGAGACAAGGGTCTAAAAGACCAGTCAGAAGGAGTACAGACAAGACAAGAACAAGTACAGGGCGGCACTACTAGTCCAACCACTGTGAGAGGACACAAGTCCAGTCTGAGTGTACACATATATATAGGACAGTACAAAGTCAAGGCCCGAGTAAGTGAGCCACTACAGGAACCAGACCAAGCTGTACACAGTGCCGCTGATGATCTTTAGGCGCAAGCGCCTTCGTAAAGATATCAGCTGTGTTGGCACAAGAGGCCAAGTGTACTACGCGAGCCCGGCGACGCTGCTGTAGCTCGCGCAGGAGGAAGTACCGCAGCTGGATGTGCTTCGCTCTACCCTCGAGTCGAGGCTCCTGACACAGGAGGATCATGGCCCTGTTGTCAGCGTACAAGACCGGGGCAGAGCTAGGCCGCTCACCTAAGTCAGTGAGCAAGAAGGTCAGCCAGCGAAGCTCCTGTGCCGCCATGGCACCGGCGTAGATCTCAGCCTCACAGCTGGACTGGGCAACAGACGAGGAGCGGGTAGCTCTCCACGAGACAGCACCTGAGCCAAGGCTAAAGCAGTAGCCCTGGGAAGACCTGAGCGTCTCGGCGTCGTCTGCCCAAGAAGCGTCTGTGTGTCCAGTAAGGACCACTGGCCTACGTCCGCCTAGCACTAACCCCATGCCCGATGTACTTGCAAGATAACGCAAAACCCTCTTAGCGGCAGACCAGTGCTGAGGTCGGTGTCTGCCTGTGGCCACGAAACGAGCCAGGATGCTGAGAGGGTATGCGAGATCTGGGCGAGTGAAAGTCATCAGGTACATGACGCAACCCACTAGCTCAGCGTAAGGACCACTGGGATCTACCGACTCCTCAGGAACTGGAGCGGAGAGTCTGTGGTCCAGAGGAAGAGGGGTGGGCTGTGCGGAGGAGAACTGAAGGCCGAACCTCTGAAGGACCTGGCGCACCAAGTGTGACTGAGTCAGGGTGATGGTGCGCGCGGCTCTGTCTCTGGAGATCTGCAAGCCAAGGTAACGGCGCAGCTCTCCAAGGTCAGTGCAGGTGTGTCTCTTCAGCAGCTCTGCCTTCACGGAGGCCAGTGCGTCCCTATCAGCTGTGGCAAAGACCAGGTCGTCTACGTAGACAAGGATGTAGAACGGAGTCGGGCCAGCACGAACGAAGAGCGAGGGGTCTGCAGAGGACGGAAAGAACTGCAGGTCAGCAAGGGTAGCACGCAGCGTGTCGTGCCACTCACGAGGCGCCTGGCGCAGGCCGTAGACTGGGCGCCGCAGAAGCCACTGGGTCCCAGAGGGGAAAGTGCCAGTAAAGCCCTGAGGACGACGCAGGTAGACCTGCTCGTGAAGGCTACCCTGAAGGAAGGCAGTGGAGAAGTCGAGGGAGTGAAGCTCGTAGTCACGCTGAGCCGCTACGTGTAACAGAACCCGAAGAGTAGTCATCTTCGGCGTAGGAGCGAAAGTCTGAAAGAAGTCCACCCCCTCGCGCTGACTGAAGCCTCTAGCCACGTAGCGCGCCTTGAACACAGGCGGCTCTCCAGGAGGGCGCTTCACCTTGAAGAGCCAACGGCCATCGACCACGTTCACCCCAGGTGGGGGAACTGCGTCGACGAAGGTGCCGGTGGATCTCCAAGATGCCATCTCCTGTTCCATGGCAGCTATCCACTGAGAGGCCCAGGGTCCCGAAACCGCCTCAGCGTAAGTACGAGGGGTCGGGATGTCGAAAGCGTCTGGGTCACCCTCAGGGACTAGCAGCATGGAACAGAGATGGGGAGCAGCCTCGGACAGGAAAGCAAGCTCAAACTGGCGGTCCTCCAGGACGTCACTGCCGAGGGCAGGAGCACCCCCGACAGACGGAGGACAGGCAGGGTCAGAGACAAGAGCGGTGGCGTAGTCAAGGCGGCGGGTAGAGGCGAAGTCAGCGACCGCAGCGACAAGGGCGTCAAGACTCGACACTGGAACAGACGGGTCGGTAACGAGAGAGGCAAGGACCCGAGGAACAAGAGGGCGAGCGGCACGAAAGTAGTCAGACAGAGGAGGAGACGCAACGACAAGAGAGGACGGAGGAGGAGACGGGAGGAGGGGAGGACGAGACGCGTGGGACCGGAGCAACATAGGGTGAGAGCGCGGGACGGGGGAGACAGGACGAGCACGGGAGGGGCGGCGAGACCAGACGTGAGAGGGGGGCGTCTGGTCAGGAGACAGAGGAGGGGACACTGGTGGGGAACGAGGGGGAAAACGAGTCGGGGACGAGTCCGGCGGAGGGAACACGGGGCCGTAGACGGGAAGAGGAGGAGACGGCAGGAGAGGAACAGACACAGGGTCAGGGGACGGAAGGCCGAGCAGACGGAGGGCGGACACCGGCGGGGACTGCTGCTGCGGCGACACAACTCCAACGCCAGGGCCACAAGCTGCGCGACGGAGACCGCCCGAACCCTCCACACCGGCACCCCCAGAAGGGACACCCCCAGAGCCCGAAACCCCGCCAGCACCGGTACCACCCCCAGGCCCGCCGGGACAAGCCACGACAGGAGCCCCGGGACTAGTACCGACCTCAACGTCAGCACCCCCAGAGTCCACAAACAGCGGCAGCGACGACGGCGGCGGCGGCGGCGGCGGCGGCTGCAGTGACGGCCGCGACGGCGGCGGCGGTGGAGACGACGGCTGCGGAGGCGGTGGAGGAGGAGACACCGGGGGAGGGACAGACGGCGAGGACTGCGCCGGAGGACTACCAGAGTCAGAAGACTCGTCGACCGGGACGACCGACGGGAGGGGGGTGACGTGAGACACACCAGAGGGGGCCGGACGGAGGGGCGGGGGGGGGGGAGGGGCAGGGACCACCGGGGAAGGAGGGACCAGGAACAGGGGGGGAGTAACCGGGTGACCACGGTGAGGGAAGCGGCGGTAGAAGGAGACGGACTCGTCAAATGTGACGTCGCGAGAGTGAAAGAAGCGGTGGGACGGCGGGTGGTAGAAGTGCCAGTCGGACGCGTCAAGGGGGAAACCGAGGAAGACGCAGGGGAGGGTGCGGGCAGTGAGCTTGTCCGTGCCAGAGGCACGAACGTGAGCAAGGCAGCCCCAGACGTGGAACGCAGACGCGTCACCAGGGGACCCGGTCCACAGAAGGGTCGGCGAAACCTGCGGCCGCTGGGGGTGCGGCCACATGTTAAGCTGGTGAGCGGCGTAGCGCACGGCGAACGGCCACAGAAAATGGGGTGCACCGGCGTGGATCATGGAGGTGCGAGCCACCTCCATGACCAAACCGATGCGTCGCTCAGCGACCCCATTCTGCTGCGGGGAGTCCGGCAGGGTAAACGTCTGGGTGATGCCCTCTGCACGACAGAAGCGACCAAGGACACCTGAGGCAAACTCGCCACCCCGGTCGGAGTGGAGGCGCAAGGCAGGGAGACCGCGGTGGACACGAGCAGAGACAAGCCAGGGGATGAGAGCGTCAGGCACGTCGGCCTTCCGCTCCAGGGGAAAGACTGTGGTGTAGCGCGTGAAGTCGTCGACAAGCACTAGGAAGAAGCGCTCGCGACGCGGCCCATGGACCGGGGCTGGGCCCCAGACGTCCATGTGCAGAGTCTGCAGTGGTGCGGTGGTAGGGGGAAAAGAGGAGGAGTGAGGGGCACGGCGGAGCCGGCCCTCGACACAAGGCGTGCACGGGGGGGCGGGGGAGGAGGGAAACTCGGGGAACGAACCGGGGAGACCAAGGACGAGACCGTGCTGGGACATGTGACGCAGACGCGGGAGTGCAGGGTGACCAAGGCGGTGGTGCCAAAGGAGAGTCGGGTGAGTGAGGGACCGACAGGAGCACGCAGCAGCAACCTGGGTGGACGCAGCTACCTGGGGGGAAGACCCAGCCGGGGAAGTCGCGGTGTCAAGTGTGAACAGGCCGGACACCGGGTCCCGGGGGAAAGTGGTAAGGGGGGCACCAGTGGCGGCCTCGGTACAGACAGCATACCGCTCGTGACCAGGGAACGTAGTGGTGACGCCAAGGTCCTGGAGGCAGCCGACACCAACTAGGTTCCTGGAGAACGAGGGGAT